TTCTTTGGGTTGCTGAGGCACTGAAAGAGTTAATACAGTTAGAGGTGGAGGAGCAGCTGAGACAAGGCCCTAGGATGTTAGTGCTCACCCAGCCCACTTAAGAGCTTCCCAGGTCATTTCCGGGACACCAGTCCAGGGCTGGGACCAGACTTGGCCCGGACATGGAACTGCTTAACACACATTTCTGCTACATCCTAGGGGCTCTGCTTCTCTTCTTGTGAATCTGCCTCTCATTTCACCTCACAGAATACTTCCCTCTTCCTTCCTCTTACTCTTCCTTGCTCCTTCCTACCCATCCATGTTTCTTCCTGTCCATCCCCTTTTCAGAAACCAAGTTATAAGCACTCTCCTCTGTCTGTAGCATGTTGGACGTCTGTGTGAGTCTGCACTGGCTGCATCTCAGTGCATGCATGTGAACCACTGTGAACCTAACTGTGCAGGAACAGGCCCTAAGCAAGGGAGGACAGTTAGAGTAAAGGTTAAGATTCTTCTCCAACTTCAGATAGCATTTGGTGTGTGCAGACATCTAGCTATCTTACCTGTCGGACAGAGGGCCCAGGGGAGACGCTTGTAAGGCAAAGCAGAAAAAGATCTTGCAGAGGGAGGTCCGAGGGGCACGGTCTTCCTAGTGTCCCAAACCACAGAGGGGAGATAAATGGCCCTTCCCCACATGCTAAGAGGACACAGATGAGACAGGCTGTCTCATCTGTCAGTGCCAGGCAGACCAGGAAAATGGGGAAGTTAGCATGAGGTTGGTCCTAGTTATAAAACTAAATGGTGCTGTGAACTGGACAGCATGGTGAGGTTGGCAGGATTACAAAGAGGTGAGTGACCTGAAACCACACAGCAGGTGAACTTGAGGACTGATGGGGGGCCAGGGGCAGGCAGCCAAAGAGAAGGTGCATTTTTGGGAGTGAAAGCAGAGTGTGTCTCCAAAGGGACACACACAGAGCACTCACAAAGAAAGCAGCATGACCACCCCACCCCCACACCTCAAGGCAGCAGTAGCCTGGACATCAGCAGAGAACTCTCATTAAAGAGTGGTAGATTCTCATGCCACAATAGCGAGATCCCAAGACAACTCGGCGCTCCAACACTGAAACGTTGAGGACCAGCGTGACACGCAGGTAGGCGGTGCCAACCTGGGAAGTGAATAAAGAAGACAGAAGAAGCAGACCTTTGCCTCTCTACTTGGTAGTGAGATAAAGTGAATAAACTTGTATAAAGTTGGAAAAAGGGGAAGAAAATTGTATTTGCCTAAATTCCCCTGGAAAGAAGCTGTCTTTGCTGGGAACAATATTTTGATAAGTGCTTAAGCCTGAAGCTGAGATCCCAGTGGAGGCCTGGGTGTGGGTGGAATAGCTCTGTGTGAGATAAGAAGGAGTTTTTGAATTTTGCATGTTCTACCAAAGAGAGAGAGGAAGAAAAGAGGCTGCTGTTTGGTGCTATTCACTATGAATTCCTTTCTCTATCACCCCCTTAAATTTCCAGAAAGTTACATTACGAAATGCTTGAGGTCAAGTGGAGTGTGTACACTTGATATTTATGTGCACATGTTTATCTGTGGGGGAAGACCAAAGGAGTTGGGGGCCTCAGATTCAAACAGAATGCCAAATAGAGACACCACCATGAGGGCACCTTGGGCAAGTTTAGCCAAATCTCAGGGGGGCAGGGCCCTAGTTGATGTCTGGGTTACTGAGTTCTGCTACAGTATTTGTTGTTTTGGTTCTTAATTAATTGTGTGTGCTATATCGAGATCAACTCACAACAGTAACACACACACACACACACACACCCTTGGAAACTCTCCAGAAACTGAAAACCAGGTATCTATGTAAGAGGTGAACTATAATGCTAATGTCCAGCTGGGACTCTCAGGCTCACTTCAGAATGGAAGCATAGCCAAGGACCCGCCTTCTTTGATGCTGCCATGCTACTCTGTTTTACCCAGGTCCCTGTCTGGAGGATGGCAGCTGCACCAGCATCTTATAGCTCTTGGTTCTGCTTAGGTCTAAGACTGGCAGGCATCAGTACCTTCTCCTTGTCGAAGATCTTTAACTGGGGCAAGGCCAGGAAAACAAGAGGCTCCTGGGATTGGCCATCTAGAAAGGCCCTTTGAAAGAGCCTTAAGTCTTCAATAGTGACAACTTCAAGCCAAGAGAGGCAAAGGAGAGTTGAATCTTCCTAATCAGAAAACCTAAGTGCTTGTTGGCCTACTGAGTCCTGCCTCCCTCCCTGCAGCTGCTCTTCCCAGGGACAGTTCTTGAAGGCCTTAAGGCCTTAAGGAAATGACAATGCCAAAGACAGGCCCAGGCCCAGGTCTCAGGTTTATCATACGATTCTTGGTCTCCCTCATCTATCCATCTTAAACCTGGCTTTCCTTGAGAACAACCCCCAGACCTAGGGGAAGATACACCTCTTGAGCAATTCATGTGCAAGTGGGAAGGAAAGACTTCTATAGTGATCTGAGACACCATGGAAAGTCCTTTGAGAGAACTAGATTGGTATTGGCATAGGGAAACAAGCTGATGGCTGACGAGGCAGGCAAGCACCTCTCTGTGATGTGGCACAATAAATGAGGTCATCCGCAATGTTCAGAAAGAGACCTCTTGGGCTGCTGGACAGAGATAGTACAGTGTGTACTCTGGCCCCGGCCTTTGTGGTCAGGTCTCCCTGAATCCAGATTAACCACCCAAACTGCATCTTACCATGCCTTGAGGGACATCAAGCTTTTATGGTAGGAAGAATGTACATCCAATGCCAATAGCCGGGGAACATCCGGGCACCCTCCTAGCTGGTCCCAGGACAGGCTGGTCGGGGTCTTCTTTTCTATTGGGTGACTGGAGGAGGCCACATCAGTCTTCCAAACGGCCTCCATCTCATTGCACTGTTGGCTGGAGTAGGGGTGGAAAATGTTAAAAGAGACAAGGAGTTAGACAGACAGACAGAGAGAGGGATTGAGAAGCAACAAACTCTCCAGGACCACAAAGCCCAAGACACTGGGCCTTGTTTTCTTCCCTTAAGTAGTTGTCACTGTCCTCCATGTCACCTCTCTTCCCTTTAAGTCTCACCTCCCAGGCGCTCCTCTGGCTGAGAAGCTACTGGAAGAGGCTCCCCAGGCACATATCCTAAACCTGGCAATACTAGAGTGGGTGTGGATATGAGTCTTTTTGGCTGCCCAGAGGCTCACAGTGTCTCTTTTTGAGCCCAGGAGGTCACATGGTGGATATAATCAGGTTTGTTTGTATGGATGGACCAACAGCGGATGGACCAACAGCAGGTAGACCAATGCTCAGGGTAGAAATGATTGTAAGTTCTCAGCTGTGGGTCCTCAAGATTCTTTCAGCTGCATAGTTTGGAACATACTTGGTCAGGCTAGCCCCTGAAGCCCATATACCACCACACACATGCACACTCCCATTTGGGCCAATGGCTGGAGCTGAGCAGGGAAGCTGAGAAGACAGGTGCCTTGCAACTCATGAGGTGAGCTTTGCCTGTCTTTGCCCTGAAGGAGCTGCCAGCCTCCTCAGTCTGGTCACCCCTGCTTCCTGCCTCCCCACTCCTCCAGCTGGCTGCCCCCTTGGCTTCCCTGTACCTACCGGGCCATCCACAGGGGCACACGTTCCTGGTGCTTGGATGGAAGATGCTCTGGGAGCTGCTTGCAGGAGAGGCCACTGGAGTAGGCACGCTGGAGTAAGGATGGGGGCGGCTTGCTTTTCCTTGACTTTAGGGAGGTGACTACAGGGGTGTGCAGGTGAACGTTCCACTCCAGTTGGAGCTAGAGAAACCAACAGAAAGGCATCGGAGAGACAAGAAGTTATCCCCTCTCTAGGGTGGGAGGAGGCATTGCCTAACTCAGGACTGAACAGAGAGAGTGAGACCCAGGGAATCCTTCTAATTAGAAACTCTTGGGACTCTGGGTCTCAAATTTCCTAGAAATTCCTTGATTTCTTACTTGTTGGGTTGGTTCCTGTTATCTTCTTTGCTGTGGAGAACCTGGACAATGGGCAAAGCAATAAAGAATAAAGCCAGAAGAAGCCAGAGCAGCTGGAACTCCTGAGAGTACTCACAGGGTGCATGACGTGGGGCCAGGTTGTGCCTGGAATGCTCTGGGTATCTTTTATCCGGCCCCAACTCTGGCACTGGACAAAGAGCTGGGGAACCCTCAGAGCCACTGGAAGAACTGTCATATGGTCCCTTTGACACGTATAGGAGATGATCGGTACTAGTATAGGTGATAGGAAACTGAGTTGGGAGATAGCTCCATGGCTAAGGTTCTTCCAACTGCCTGCTGCTGGCACTTATAGAGTCCCTCAGCACACTGCTTCCCATAGACTTAGGCCACTGCTGTTCAGGACTCGGGGTTATCTTAGGGGAGATACCAGCAGGTTCTGAGTCACTGCTGTGGGATTCTCCAGTCCCTACATGCCATGGGCTAGTCC